AGAAAAAGAAAATCATATTATATTTAAAGTAAAAGAGAAGAAACAATAAAAATTAGAGCTGAATACAATGAAATTGTAAACAGAAAATCAATAGAGAAAATCAAGAAACCAAAAGCTGGTTCTCTAAAATGATCAATAAGAGTAATATGCCTATAGTTAGGCTAATTGAGAAAAAAAAAAAAGAAGAGGACTCAACGAAGACCGGGCATGGATGGAGGGAGAGTGGGTAGGGCAGGGTGGAGAGGATATTCTGGAGTCGGGGTTGCTAAGAGAGCCGAGATTGCGCAATTCCACTCCGGCCTCGACAATGGAGCGATACTCCAAAACAAAAAAAAAAAAAAAAAAAAAAAGAAGAGGACTGGACGAAGACCGGGCATGGATGGAGGGAGAGTGGGTAGGGCAGGGTGGAGAGGATATTCTGGAGTCGGGGTTGCTAAGAGACAGGGGTGGGCTGAACCAAGGAAGTAGGGATGCTATCTGCCCAGGACTGGAGGGGAAGAGCCCTTCCCCTGGACACCTACCGGGTGTCACTTTGAGGAACTGGTTCACCTCCGGAGGCTCTGCTTTGATCACTGGCAGCTGAGTCATCTCTCCTGGGGCCTGAGGAACAGACAAGCCCAGCTCCATTAGCTGCCCCTGGGTCTGTACCCACCATGCCATCTACCCACCTCCTCCTTAAGTCTGGTGGCCTGCCCTGCACAGTTGGGGAAGTGGCTGGGCTTGGAGTTCTGGGCACAGCTGCAAGGGAACAGAGGCAAGTTCTTGAGCCTAGGAAAGCCAAGTTACACCTAAGAGAAAGCACTGGTGGCCAAGTAATGTAGCTCAGACCTTAAGCTCAGAGAAGGTGAGCCTCTGAGGGTGGGGCCACCTTCCACACCAATTGTGAAGGCCACACAGGCTTTGGTATGTGGGTTGCCATGAGGACAAGAACAAGAGGTAATGTCTGGAATAGTGTAGCTGTTCAATGGCTGGTAGCAATAGTACAGAAGAAGGAGGCATTAATTGGCTGGGGGCTCCAAGGACGCTCCCTGAGAAGTCAAAGTCTGAAATGAGTCCCGGGGTATAAATAGAAGTAGAATCCAGACAAAGAAGTTGAAGGCAATGAGAGCTCCTAATGGATTTGAAGCAAGGGCCTGATAGAATCAGATGGACATTTTTAACAAACATGCATTTCTCTTTATTTCTATTCTGACTTGTGGTTCCAGAAAGGACTTCAAGAACATGCATGGCTTTGTACACGTGACTACCGACATGCATGTAAGTGGTGCTCTCTCTGAGGAAGGCAAGGTGTTGGGGGCTGGATTTTAGGCCCTGGGCTGCAGCCCCAGAGAGAAGATCATGATATTGTGGGTGGGATGCATAATCCAGAATGTAGGCTGTTGAGTAAGAATCCCAGAAAGTTCAAGTTGGCAGGGACCTTGGAGATTCCTTGGTCCACATCCCAGCTGATCCCTCGAGTGAGAGGGGACTGTGGTGCAGAGAACTCACTGTTGACAATGCCAGCTCCTGTGCCTTCTACTAGGGGTTATGACCTCCCCTGTGTGGGCTTCAGGGTCTGGCAGGCCGAATTTGGAAGGCAGGTCAGTTGCTTCTAACTGCATGATTTTGGGCAAATTGCTTAACCCCTTGAGCCTCAGTTTCCCTATCTGAAGCCTCCTCGCCTCTGGCTGCTGCTGCTGTCACTCCTTCGGCAAGGCCTGAGGAGTCTCAGAACCAGTCTTGGAGACGGTTTCAAAAGATCCTGCATATTTGCCACCAACCCTTGATCCCACGGGTCTGTGGTGGGGCAGACAGGGGCTGACCTTTCTTGCTTCGGCCACCTACAGTTTGAGCAAGTGAGCCGTGTGGCCAGCAGGGGGCAGGGCCAGCCACGTTCCCATCTAGGGATTTTAAGATGCTGCTCATCCTGTGGAATCCTAGGGCTAGAGGCACCTTAGGGGGTTCATGAGCCCATTTTACAGAGAAGGAGGACACGGAATGTGCCCAGAACACAGAGGAGGCTCCGAGTTGGGACTCAGGCAGGGCCTCGGCTAGGAGCCAGGGGTCTGGGGTTCACATTCCCAGAGGGGTCTTGGGTTTATAGCTGAATGCTGTCATCTACACATTCGTGGAGGTGGGAGCTCAGCCTGAGAGTGTGGGTTAAAAATATTAATCTCATAAATGTAAACAATTGGAATATAGCACACTTTTTTTTTTTTTT